AAGGTCATGATAATCTATTTTCATGGGTTCTAACTATGTTTTCACTGCTGATTGCTTGGGATCTCTTGCTTGTAGGATTATCCTCCAAACTGAAGTTCCCTCTGATAATGTTATTTCCAAATTTTATTTATGGATGTTATCCTGTTTTCTGGTTTGGTTACGTGCAGCAAATCTCTGTTTGTAAGAGGCATGGTGATCTATGTCTTTTTAGGTTCAGAGTTATTGATAACTTCAGAAGTTGTGATCAGGGACAATCATATTTTGGGATTGCATCGTCTGATGGCTATTGCTATAAATTTGGTCACCTGCATCATACTTTGATGCAATTTACATTGATTTTTATGACAAGTAGATGCCTCAATACTTGGGGAAGATGGTGGCCCTTGTGCATTTTACCTTCTGTTTTAGCATAGGCATTTCTAAGTACAGACTTATTGCATGGTTTGGTGAGCTGGAGCCTGCACTATCACTATATTTCTTAATCATAAGGAAAGATGAAATTTGTAATATTCTAATTTGACCTGTATAAAACATTCAGAATACTTCCCTGCATTACTGCATGCATCAGAGCTCATGTTTATGACAGCCACCTGAAGGTGCTTTTGAAAATTGGCCTGCGATCATTGCAGTGGCTAACCACCCTTGCTTAAAGAATCAAAAAAACCCAACTGTTTTCTCTTCTGAATTTGTCCAACTTCAGCTTTCAGCTATTAGGCCTTCTTTGACCTTTGGCTGCTCTATTGAAGAGTTAGTTTTGAAGCTTTTGTTCCCATAGGTACATACTTATAGGCAGGGACTGAGCTACTCGGTACTCCCTCCTTGGTATAATAAATTTAGTGTTCTGACTCGGTAGTGAGAGATGTTCGTAATCCTGAAATTCTCTTTTGGCTTTTTAACATTTTGAATTGTGGATGTTTGTTGGGACATACGATGTGTCATGCTGGTGCCAAATACAGGCATACAATGATCTCGGTTTTTAACTCTCTTTCTGTCTTGTCATCTAGTAAGTTATGGTAGTCTTCAGGCCGATCTATTTGCACACCATAATTTCCTGTAATTCCAACACTTCTATATAAATTTTCCTTGTGTCAGTTCTGAAATAGGTAGCTTTTCATTATCCTTTTGCCTGTGTTGATGTCCTTCAAGTGCATGATCCAGATCTGTCCATCAGTGGCGTATCCTCTTCCTGTTTACCATTTTCCCCGGTCCTTCTGCCAGCTGTGCCTCCTATCAACAGCAACTGTTTGTCTTCTGGGTCATTGGTAAACTGTTAAATAGCAGAGGGCCAAGAACTGGTCCTACTTAGTTATATTTTTAAGTCAAATAATGGATTTTTAAAAATTAATTTTGTTATGTTTGTAAATGACTTGATTTTTAAAAATCAAAATAATGAGTGGATAAATCATTTGTCTTTGAAAATGCCAGATACACTGCATCAATGTTCTCCTCACATTTAGTATTACATTTACCTTTATTTAGCTGTGGACTTCCTGTATACATTCATCAATTGTAATGCTGGTAGTCATATATTGGCATTTGTTCATGTAAATAATTATTTAGTATCTTAACATCTGAAACTGCTGTCTCAAAACTAAGATTAGTTCTGGAGCAAAAATTCTATTGACTTCTGTGAGGCCCATAATTTACATATCTGAGCCTATGTATGTGGAGCCTGCATATCTGGAGACTCTGAATACCATATGTAGCTAGTTTTGTTTCTATACTTAATAAGTATTAGAATAAACTTTTCAATAAATTGATTTATCTAGGAAAACAATAGGTTTCTGCCTTTCATGCTGGCCAACTAATGAATAGTGTCAGAAGAAATATTTTGCTTTGTTAAGTATTTGAATGTGATGTCCGAAATTGAGAGATTTGGGAAAAATGTTTGCCTTTCTCTTCTATGCTGAAAGCTACTTCGTCAGTCCTCTAGTGGCTGCAGAGAGAATGTATGTAAATACAGACGGGCAAATGGGATTGTGTTAGCAAAGACCAATATAAGCGCATTCTCAGTGGGGTCCATAACTTACTGTCAGTGCCTATTGGGTGTCACAGCGCCTAAATGTTCAACTTGGCAGGTTAATTCAGGGCAAAGCCGTGCCAAAGGGCAATTTGGCATTCCCAGGGGAGCTGTCAGGGAGAGGGGTGATGCCAGGGATGTGTCAGCTGCCCATCCTTCTTGGGAGATGGAGGAAGGAGGTGCTTGGTGTACTTCTAGAGGGTTGATGGGCAATTACTGGAGCCCTTTTCTTGACCGTAAGCTTGGGCCAACACCTTGATGGGCAGTTACTGGAGCCCTTTTCTTGACCGTAAGCTTGTGGTTTGGTCTTTTTCCAATCTGTTTAGGATTCCCCATGCTTTGTGTGGCAGCCTACAAATTGGGGCGGTAGGGTTCAGCTCTTCCTTCAGTGCAAGTGGATTCAAACCCACGGGGCAGGCCCTGTTGCTTATGGGCAGATGGAGGAGGGAGGAAAGGAGGATGCCGTCTGTTCCTTCCTCTGTAGCTGGAAAATGGCAATCAAAAAATCGGGTCTTGGAGTCAAAGGGAGAGCAAACCCATTTTTGGCACGCAGAACACGCTGATAGTTTATTCAGTGAGTATGTAATATGTATATTTGACACCAGGTTTCGTTTATGTCTTTGACTATTGAATCACTTAATGTTTGTTATTATAGTTCTGCTTTATTGCAGTAGTTGTTCAACAATTTCTTGTAAAAGCAGTATCCCATTTTACAGCATTTTGATGATGGTCACGCCTTTTTTAGCCCCGCATGTGAGTGGAAATGCTTTTAAGACTTTAGAGTTATTTTCTTTTTTTTTTCCAGTATCCCTGTGGATAATCATCAATCTTAAGATACAGAATTATATTAAGCTCTGAAAACTTTCTTCCTATGCTTTTTAAAAAATAATTTAGAAATGTTTTTATTGCTTAACTTGCCATTTACAATAATTCTTACAAATTTGTTATTGATACACTTCATTACTTTTTCAATTTTACAATTGCTAGTTTGGAAGTCACTGCCATTAATTTCCCAGTTCTTTGTTGTGTTGGAAAATATGAAATCTTTCTACACTTATCTTGTATCTATACCTTGAAGGTCTTTATATGTGAAGCCTCCCCGCTCATCTTTTTGTTTCTCACATTTAATTTTTCTTACCTGTTTTACAGATTATTTCTTATTATACTCCACATTAGTACTTCACTACTAATTGCTTTAGTAGTGGGAGTCACTTATTTGCTTCCATTTGGATTAAAGCTGATTACTGCCGTGGGTTTACTATATGGAAAGTATATGTTTAAGTTGTGACACTCTCCCTTTAATGCCTCTGCCTGCAGGAAAGAGGTAGAATAGGAAAACACGTTTCATTCAGTTAACCCCAAACCTTGTTTTTTCCCTTGGTGACTCAGCTTTGCCCATACCTGTCTTTGGGATGCCATCAGTCCCTTTTGTACCTACAGTTCAGCTTGAATGTTCATATATTTCATGCTCTTCCCTAACATTTGGATGTAAAATACTGCATTATTGACACGCAGCACCACATGAATATTAAGTTGAAAGCACGAGTGAGCACTGGTATAAAATGAAAGCCACCAGAAACATTTTGCTTGCTAGTTTTCATTTTCTTTATCCTTTTTTCAGTTGGCCACACTATTATGTGTATTGAAATGTGTTACCAAATTTGGCGTTTGATTCCTGTGAGAGACTGTTTGCCTCAGGATTCAGTTGCAGCTTGCTGCTGGAGATGTGGACTCTGAACGCCTGTATTTGGGTCATTCTTAAGTACACTGGAAAAGCCCGGGGAATAAGAAAGCTTTGCTATTGTCTCAGAATAACTTTTACTCTCTTGGTCCTCGTCTGACCCTATGATAAGTATGAAATTTCTGTCACGCTGGTTTTTTTGTTGTGGTGTGGGGTTCTTTCTGGGTTTTTTGGTTGCGGGGTTGGATTCTTTTGTTTTGTGGTTTGTTTTTGTTTTGTTTTAAACTTTTGTGCTATCATTATCTATAGCATCTTGAGGAGAAAAAACCCACCTTTCTTCCAGTTGGGAGCAAAATGTCTGGTAAATACAATGAGATAGTGTTCGTTAACTTTCACAGAAAGCTCGGTTAGCCAGTTATTTATAAACTCTGGCATTAGAATTGTGTTTAAAGGAAC